TTTTTTTTTTTTTTTTTTTTTTTGATATCAACTTATTTGGAAGGACTTGTACTTTATCAGGGTATCAAACATTCAACGATGCCTCAAGTCTTTTCTTCAAAGTGGGCTCACAAACTTGTTGGGGGAGAGAATTAAACTCGAAAATAGAGTAGGGTTGTCTGTGTAAGGATCCTATCTATAAACTTTTTTCTATTTTATCACTATTTTTGGATTAAATATTGAGCTGTGTCTGAAATTAGGAAAAGAAAGTACTTAACTCAAACATGTTGTTTGGCATGTCGGGCATGTGTATAGATATATTCATGTCTGAGACGGATACTTTACCGTAACAAAATATACATACTTCTTAACTAAAATTGTTACAATTTAGGATCCAACTCATAAATGTTTCAAAACTTCAAAAGTAACACCTCGACGATTACTTTCTTTTCTTCAACTTGTTTTTGTGCTGGTAAGAATTTGTTGAAAAGTGTTTCTATACCCCACTTATTTTTCGATTGAATGTTTAAGCAAAGAGAAGTTAGTGGCCATTGTTGACAAGTTTTTTCCATGACGTACTATAAAAAGTCATGACTAACAAGTTTGATAACTCCTACTATCTTTTGACTATAAGAAAAATTATAAAATTATGAGTCGAGTACTAATCATAACAATCTAATGCTCCATTTCAACTTTGCAAAACACTAACTTCCAAATCTCTAAATGATCTATTCCATTGAAGTGGGTCTTCCTAGGGTCCCAATATGACAAAAAAACAAAAACAAAAACAAAAAAAAAAAGAAGTCAAGCAATCATTGCCTTCCATCTGTATGATCCAAGAAACCAGCCACAGCATTAAATAACTACGAGGCCTTATCACAATGGGCCACTGCGTCCCCTAAGCTTATCCACCACTTGGACTAAAAAAAATTTGCACATTGGACAAGAGAGAACAGAAGTACTGGACTTTAGAACTTTTGAAATCAGTATTCCAATAATGTCATCCCTGTGTAGCTTAGAAAATGGAATCCAAATGCCCAATTTTCTGAGCACACAAACTAAATAAGATTTGTATTGAAGAGAGGAGAGAAAGAAAAGAGAAACATTTAATAAATCTGTGAAGGCTGCTTTTTACAAATTTGCAGTGATGCTACAAATACATAGCAGCAACTTTCCTACAAAACCATCTGCTTTTTTCACTAACACCACACCTTATTTAGCTCTCTCTGCTTCAAAGAAATGAAGAGAACTCAAAATGGAGAATGCAACCCAAAACAAAAACGAAGGGGTGAAATGAAATGAAGAGACAGCATCCACAACTGCTGAATCCATCAACTACATACACACACAGAGATACACCGTCGTACGAATCGCTTAAGCCTACTCCGAAAATTGGTAATTGTCAAGTTTCGAAGCGGCATACTTATCCAAAAACCATGTCAACTTTCCTTTTCTTGGCTGTATCAACCTTGCAGGTAGGAGCGGGGAGTCGTCTCCTACATCATCGATGGCCAAATGTACTGTCTCTGCTTTGTTTTCACCTGTCACGACAATGGCCACGTTTGATGCAGAGTTGATCACAGGGAACGTGAAGGTGATTCTCTCTGGAGGAGGTTTTGGAGAATTGGTAATGAAGGCAACCCATTCATCTTTCTCTTCGAGCACCGAGTGATCGGGAAATAATGAGGCAACATGGCCATCAGCACCCATTCCAAGTAGTATGAGGTCAAACTTGGGGCTGTCACTCACATCAGACACACTTACTATGCGGGATTTTACTGACTGTCGAATGACAAACTTGTACTCATCGGCAGCTTCCTCAGCTGACACCGAATCATTGATCGAGTGTACATGGCTCGGAACAATTGGCACCTAGTGATACAAACAGACCAGATCATTAGTATTGCTAAATAGAAGATAGATATGATAATGGTTGACATCACACACAAAGCTATCCGTGCCGACTGGTAGTCTTGGTTGGAAGGCTGTCATATGGCAAGATCACATAGTTCTACAATAAAACTAACAAATGTTCCCAAGTATATGAAACAAGAACAACAAAATGCCTTCTCTTGGATTCTTCATCTACTTGTGCAAAAGGTTTCAGCTCAAATCCTTCCAAAAGCTAAGACTAGTGTTAATAGAACATGGTAGGACATGGTACAAAGATGAATTTCCAATGTCAGTTCCTCCCTATTTTTAGTTGGACAAGGGAGTAAAGACTTGAATATCTAACCTTTTGGCCATTTCCTACATATGTTTAAGCTAGATGATGTATATATTTGGGACACAATTAGAGGTCACATATATAAGGTAGTTGAAAGTTAGCACTGAAAACCTCAATAACTCAGAGTGGTAGCTTGACAAAAGTGCAATTTTGAGCTGAAAGACCAAGAAATCCTGTCATAACAATATATATGAAATTGTAACCATGTCTTTCACCCGAACATAGCTCAACTAGTTAAAACATTATATTATCGACCAAAAGGTTGGAGGTTGGAATCTGGGTGGTTGAAATAAAATAAAAAAAAAATCGACAATTTGACCTATTTGACCAATTTGTCCCTAGGTAGAACCCAAAGGCAACCAAATGACAACAACAAAGATGTTGAGACAGGAAGCTACTCTATGTTGAGTTGAGTTGAATGAAAGTATTCTATATTTTCAAGGCAAAAGCGATGATCCCAGAACAATACAGAACATATCACTTAATGTATATGACAGATAGAACATCTAATAAGAGTAACTCAGTTCCTTGTTTGGTCTTTAAAGTGGAAATTAATAGCCCAAAGGATTAAAATAAACTAATCGTTCTAAGATACGGTTACTTCCTCTGTTAAAATCCATCAAGAGACTCAGAATTTAGCAAACAAAGCCATGGGGACGAAGCTAAGGAATTGCTCTGTAGTTTTAGCTCCTCTAAGCTTTCAGATTAACAAATGCATTTGCAAATTTCAGAAGGCCATATCCAAGTAGCAATGAGCTATTTGAACAAAAAGGTATTGAAGATAGAAGTTTAATACTCAAATCTTCTTTCTCCGAGCAAACAAATTACTTACGTAGATGAGAGTAAGAAGGAAGGTCAGGGAATAGAGTCAAAGGTTCCGAAGTTGTACTAATTTTCACTTTGATTCTGATTCCTTCATTCTATAAAGGTTTTGGTTCTGGTTCAGTTCAGGGGAGGAGAACGTTGATCGCTTTTCCATGTCTAGTCCCAGTTTCGGTTAAAGACCCAGAGCGGACTATAGATCTATACCAAGCCCGTTACGCCATAATTCATTGAGTTTGATCCCGAAGTTCTTGATCCCATTGAGGGGAGTAAAGCATGACTTCCCCAATTCTTCTCTTTGAGTAGTTATCAAATTGATTCAATTAGATTACTATAGCTCATTCATGGTCCTCAAATTAGAATAGGATTCAGGCATTCAGAAGAAACACAGTGACAACTTTGTGACCCAGAAAAAGAAAAAGACACATTGTCTAAAAGAGAAGGCGCCCACCGTAGGCAAAGCAATAGAGATGCATTAGTACAAACCTTAGAAAGAAGGTTATCCTTAGCAAGCTTATAATTGCTGTCGGCATGGCTTTTTGCAACAACACGCTCATCAGCCCAAAATATATACCACTTGCCCCAGTCCACAGTCTTGTTGTAAGGAGCTTCACACAGCTTCCTGTTATTCATCCACCAAAAATTATAGCAACAGCCTCATTGAAATCAGAGAAGGAAACAAAACCATCCATACCCCATTAAGCTAATGAGTGAACCACCAGACAACGCTATAGAAAACACCCCACGTTCTTTCACCGATGCCTCTGATAATTCAGCAATATAGTCAGCTAAATCAGTACTTAGCTCTTCCAAACTTTCATGGATCCTTAGCTCTCTATCTTTATGATCCCCACATAGAGCCATAATTCACGAAGTTACAACTCCTGCACAGAAGGAAGAGAAGAAAAATGACAGATTGAACACTAAATTTTACACCATCGTTTGAAATTTGCAGAGAAGATCAATGAAGAACTTCCCCCACTTATAGCTAATGGTCATTGAACTAAAATTCAGGGCATTACAAAAACTGGCCCGCATGCAGTTGAAGAATCTATAGGTTGCTATGGGCTGTGTTAAATATGGAAATTTAAGAAGAACAGATCAAGAAACATTCACAAACCATATGACACTATCACATGAACCAACATGCACGAAGCGTTATTTAGACAACTAGATTGTAATTTCATTTATGGGGGCATCGTCCAAGGATCAAGAACAGAAACCCTCGATTTGGGTCGATGTCCGTGAAGCAAATGATGTATTGGAAAACGGACCCATGCCCAGATCATAAAAAACCAAAACAAACAACCCCATTACAGAAGAAATACAGATTATTAGAAGAAAAAATGGTGAGATGATGTCTTGAGATTGATGAAACTACAGGAAATAGCAGAGCGAAACAGAAATAGGGAAAAAGAGATAGAAAAATTTACAGAGACAAGAAGGGGGGAAATGGAAGGGGGGTTGTTGCAGACAGTGACGAAGGTGGAAGATGAGCATCGGCCCGAAATTGATATATAATTACAAGGTAATGTGAGAGAGTAGTGTAAAGGAAAAAGCCTCGCAAGAAGTTTGAGACAGGAATTTACCTTGTAGGCTTCCACGTGCAGCCAATGATGGTGACGCAAAAACCCACACAAGGCACACCCCAACTCTTTATTGTTTTTTTTTTTTTTTTTTCCTTTTCTTTCTCTTTATCCGTTACAGATAGTAAACTCTCATCCATTTTCTGTGTGTAACAGATGGGGAAAAGATCCCGTTATCCTCCTTGATCAATTGTAAGAACATGTCTTTAATTACCCTAAAATTTATCTTTGGGACTCTTAGCTCTTAGATTGCAAATTAGCCAAACATGTGTGTATAAATTCAATGCTGACAAATGTACGAATGGTGGGTGGGTCTGTCTTGCGACAGGGCAACAATGGCAGGAAGTAGTGGGATTTAAACTCTTTCTGCCATGTCCATGTATGTGCTGCTTTTCTCTTGTCATTTGCTTTGAAAAATCCTTCCCCCTCCTCTGGAATTGCTTTCTGGTTGTCCCCCCAAAGCTAGCAAGCTGGTCACTTTCATTTTTGTTCAAAATATCAAGTTCCTCTGCTAAGAGCAGGGGACAATCCATATAGACATCCCAGCAAGCATATCCAAATATTCTAA